CTCTCTCTCTCTCTCTGTTCCCGGGGAAGGTTACATTAAAACATAACACAATAAATGTTTGTCTTTTGCAGTCGATGACTCCGCTTCAAAGAACGAGGAAACGGTGAAGGATCCAGAGGAGGTGAAGAAAGAGGGCGAGGCGGAGAAGAACGGCAAAGAGTCGGCGAACGCCATCAACGAGGTGATCGCCATCCCAGACGACGACGACGACGACGACGAGAAGAGTCCGCCGGCGGAGAAGGAGAGCAAGAAGAACGGGGAAGAGCCGATGGAGACGGACAAACCGAGCAACGGGGAAGCAGAGGGCGAGGAGAAGGAGAAGGAGGCAGAGAGCGAGATGAAGAGTGCGGAGGGAGGAGAGGAAACAAAGTCGACACCAGAGGCCAAGACGGAGGGGTCAGACGTCAAACCCGAGGACACCGAGGTCAAAGGTAAAACTCCTCCTTAATTTTGGATAGTGCAAACAAGACCTTGTTTTTGGGATATTTCTCCTCCGCGGTTTATTTTGAGAGCTCTGTTTTCTTCTCGCGCTGAAAAAACATCCAAACCCATAAAATCTTGAGTTAGGATTCACATCGTGGCTGAAGCTAGACCCTGATCCTGTAGTCTCAGACCTGGTCTCTGATAGAAACTTGAATGCAGTCGCTTTGTGTGTCTTAAAAGTGTGACACCGTGGTTTGTTTCTCCAGTTGTTTGTTGTCGTCTTTATTTCTTTAATGTGTTTTTCTTTGTTTTTGCAGCAGAAGAAAAAGAAGAAAAGATGGACATCACGCCTCCTGCAGATGAAAAGAAAGGTACTAAACGCAGTTTTATAAACAGGAAGTAACTTAAGTTTTATTGCGTTTCTTCATAGAATATAATTCTCAGTTAGTCTTCATCCGTTTCTTCATGCACGTCGTTAATCGCGTCTCCTTTCGTTCTTCCTGCAGCGGATCTGAAGGAGGAGAAGGAGCCTCAGAAACCAGAGGAGGCGACGACGACGATGACCAAACTGCAGAACGGAGACGGCTGCAAAGAGGGCGGAGCTTCAGCTGCCCTTCCTCCTGCTGCTGCAGCTGCCGCCGCAACCACAACCATGGTCGCCATCGCTGGAGCCGCCGCTAGTGAGGAGAAGAAGAAGGTGGCGGCGGCCAAGACCCGGTTCATGTTTAACATCGCTGACGGAGGATTCACAGGTACAGACACACACTCACACACACGTAGAAACACACACAGTTCATTCTCTAATGGACGTCTTTCCTCTTTCAGAGCTTCACTCTTTGTGGCAGAACGAGGAGCGCGCTGCTACCGTCACCAAGAAAACCAACGAGATCTGGCACCGCCGGCACGACTACTGGCTGCTGTCTGGCATCATTCAGTATCCTTTACCCGCCTGTGATTGGCTGTCAGTGCTCGCTGTAGGGGGGAGGGGGTGTGATGGGGATTTGTTGTTCTGAGATCTGTAGTCGTGGTCCTTCACCTCCTCTCAGACACGGTTACGCCCGCTGGCAGGACATCCAGAACGACGTGAAGTTCGCCATCCTCAACGAGCCGTTCAAGGGAGAGATGAACCGAGGGAACTTCCTGGAGATCAAGAACAAGTTCCTCGCCCGGAGGTTCAAGGTAAACATTAACGTTGGGATGGAAAAGTGTCACAAGTGTGGTTGTGTGAGGTTCTTCTCCACAGTCACTTTATTACTACACAGGAGCAAAGCAAAGTTCTGGACGTGTTTTAGACTCCTAAACTAATCAATATCGGTTTAAGTGAACGCTGTATTTAGAGTATTTTCGGTTCCTACGAGAACTCAAAATAGTGTTTCTTGCTTCAAGAACATAAACTACTTTGCGTCCTCTAAAGATTTTAGGTATTTTGCTGTGAAATATTGGTCAAATCCAAAAACAGTGAGCCATAACGATGTTTAATTTGTAAACATAAATTGTGTTGTAACTGCTGTGGCTTCCTGCAAACATCAGTCTGAAGTCTTAATTCCTCAGTGATGCTGACTCCTCCCCCTCTTCTCCTCCACCAGCTGTTGGAGCAGGCGCTGGTGATCGAGGAGCAGCTGCGTCGGGCCGCCTACCTCAACATGTCCGAGGACCCGTCCCACCCCTCCATGGCCCTCAACACGCGCTTCAGCGAGGTCGAGTGTCTGGCCGAGTCCCACCAGCACCTCAGCAAGGAGTCCATGTCCGGGAACAAGCCGGCCAACGCCGTCCTGCACAAAGGTGAGACGCGGAGCAGGAAGTCCCTGATGACCAGTATGATTTGTGCTCTGGGTCCACGTGTCGTAAAGCTGCATTCTCTCTAGTGTCCACCAGGGGGCGACTCCTCTGGTTGTATAGAAGTCTATGAGAGAATGACTCTACTTCTCTCTTGATTTATTACCTCAGTAAACATTGTAAACATGAGTTTATGGTCTCAATCTCTAGTTTCAAGTCTTCTTCAATGCAGCATGATGTTCATTTAGTAAATTATGGTCCATTTAGAGTCAAACAGACCATAAAGCAGGGGATGCTTTAGGGCGGGGCTTACTGTGATTGACAGGTCTCTACTAGAGACGTATACTGCGTCTCTACTAGAGACGTATACTGCGTCTCTACTAGAGACGTATACTGCGTCTCTACGTCACTCCTTCACATTCAAAATATGGTAACTTCTGTTCATTGGTTGTGTAAAATAACAAGACGGCGAAATTACCGAACTCTAAACTTATTTTTTTTATTTTAACTTGTGTTCTTACTCATTTATTACAACTTTTCTTTTTAGATCATTTGACAAATACAATAGTTTCCCTTCTCTAGTTTCTATGTTCTGTAGAATAAATAGTAAAAGTTAATACGAACTTATCTTAGTGAGAGCAGAACAATGACGCATGAAGATAAACTATGACGTAAAGGAAGGAAATTAAACCATAAAACACACCATGAGCTTAACTACACAACCATAAATGTGACGACTGCGCAAACAGACGAGGTGAGCGACTACATTTTTCATCTCTCTCTCCCTCTCTCTCTCTTTATCTTTCTCTCTCTCTCTCTCTCTCTCTCTCTCTCTCTCTCTCAGTGCTGAAGCAGCTGGAGGAGTTGCTGAGCGACATGAAGGCTGATGTCACCCGCCTCCCGGCAACCATCGCCCGAATACCGCCGGTTGCGGTGCGACTCCAGATGTCCGAGAGGAACATCCTGAGCCGGCTGGCGAGTCGAGGGCCCGAGACACAGACGCAGTCACAGACACAACAGGTACACAAACACAGACCAAGAGAACAGAACTACATCTTAGATTTACATTTTAACTTTTGGCATATTTCCCAAAATGTTTAACTGTTCCTTTAAGATCTGATGACTAGAACCTCCTTGTCTCCTCCAGATGTCACAGCAGTAGAGTGAAACTCTGCGCTTTACCTCGAAAAACCAACCCCCTGCCTCACCTTCGACATTCCTGATTGGTGCACAGCAGAATGACGGACAGCGCGCTCAAGCTTGAAGCCACACCCAGTTCACCCCCTCCCCCAAACCTCCCCACCCAAAAAACAGACTTTATGGAGGATCGAATCCCTTCCCCGAAGTTTGAGGCTGTGGACAGAAAAGCTATTTTATTTTTTTCCTCCTTTTTTCAATTTCTGTATTAATATTATTGATATAATGTTATTATGATGGTTTTTTGGGACCTAAATAAAAATGTAATAAAGTTTGTTTGTGGTCAGTTGGGGGGGAACGGGCTACTTTTAGTGTTAAATTACAGTTTAATGTCGTAAAAAAATCTTCACATTAAGACTCAGAAGCTCCACTTCAAAGGTTTCTGAGTTAAATGCTTCTACGCTTCCTGGTTCTCTCTTCTTAGTCTGCCTCTGACGAGCTGAAACTAAATCCCTGACAGCAGACTAATTGTGCAACTTCCACGTGTACTTTGCCTTTTTATTATGCATTCAAATTACGTATTACTTCCTTCAAACTGACAACTTTGGAAACTTCACAAAGAGAAAAAAGATTTAATTTGTGTTTCTTGGTCCAGCTCACCATTAATTGCAACTTATTTAAATTGTTTGCATCTTCAATTAGTTCCTCAATTTTCTTTGTTGGATAAATCCTCATTTATGTTTTTAGTAAACATTTCGTCTGTTTAGAGTGTTTATCATCTCATAACAAACTCAAAACCTGCGTAATTAGTATTTTTGAATGTGATTCCTGTTTGTCGCCACTAGAGGCAGATAAAGACCAAATGTTTTAAAGACTTTAAGAGAAAGATTTGGGAAAACGTTTCAGAGTAAATCGGGGCAAGAACATGACATTTCTGTTGCAAACATGAATTTATTTGAATTCACAGACGGAATCAGAATAACAATGTTAAATGTAAAGTTCCTTTTGATTTCCAGCAGAACTGAAGAAGCGCTGATGCTGATTTTCGCGTCAAAGAGTCAAATCAAATATATATTTTTACATTTTAAATGGTCAATATCTACAGTCTCCTTTTAAAAATATACAGATGAGTCACATTCGATCAAGTTCAGAACACGGAAACATTCAAACACAACACGAGTCGGATCGGATCACGAGACGATAAAAACTCTAAATTGTTTCCGTCGCTTTTGCCCAAAGTGTAAATACATCAGCAGCAGTACCGACGCTGACCGCTAGGGGGCAGCTTTCATGAACAGACCTGTACGAGTACAACACGGCTGGACAAAGAGGAACAAAGAGAAAGCAGGAATCCTTTAACTCTGGTTTAAAAAGCTGTTCACTTTTAGTCCTTTAAAACAAACGCGAGCAACAAAATGTTCACTGTGACGATCGGCTTAGAACCCGAGTAGTGTTGGTACACATTCATTGTCCTAATCTGCTAAAATCTTCTTTTGACAAACGGTCAACCTCTGTGAAGTCATTTTGTTTCACCTCTGTGAAACGGTTTTTATTTTTCAAGATCCCTTAAACTCTGTTTTGGTTTGTTTAGGAACCAAAAATCTGCAGAAACTTTCATAACTGTCGTTTATACTTTTATGTTGTATGTTTAATTCCTTCTGCTTATGTGTCAATGAGGAGATGGAGACCAGCAGAGGTTTGCCGTTTGTACTGGAAGTACATAAAGATCAGGTCACAGATCACTTCCTGTCTCTTTAACTGGAGGAGATGGAATATGTTTCTCCCTATTGAACATGTACGAGAAGAAGATGCTTCCTGTCTCAAGCAAAACATGTTTAAACGTGATTTTTATTCAGCAAATAAATCTTTTTACTTTTCTTCTATCAACTTTCCCAATTCAGTCGACACAAAAAAAAACACATTACATCCACTCGGGACTCCTGGTTAGACGTTTTCTCGAGAAGAGCCGGGATGGCAAAGAGGAGGCAGTGGAGCACATTACAGACCGAGGAGGAGATCGAGGAGCAGGTGGAGAAGCTGGTTTTATTTTTGCGGCTCGGCCGGCGTTGGTGCAGACTCGTCCTGCGACTGTGTCCGTCCCTGAAGACCAGCTCAGTAGAAGAAATACACTGAGGAGGAAGAGCGGAGAGGTTCATGTTTAAAGTGACGTTTGAGAAACAACGTCTCCTGATGAAGATCATGTGATACGACCGAAAGCTCCAGAACAGCTGCTTGAGGTGAGGGATTATTTTGTAAACCTACTTTTTTTTTTTTTTTTTTTCAATGCACTTCTGACATCGGATGAAACATTTCCAGTGCTTTGCTTTGATGTTTTTAATTGTCATGAATACAAAAAAAGCTTTTTCTGAAAACAAGGTGGGTCTTTAGAACTCATATCTTCTGTCCCCCCTTAAACCAGCCTCACCGGGCGCTCGAAGACTTTGGTTTGTGGCTCATAAAAACACTTCAAATGTCTTTGTGATGTTAGATTTACACATCTGTCGAGTGCAAAAGTAACATTTCGTCCTAAAGGTTCGTGCTTAATGGCAAAAGATGTCTGATGATGGCACGAGAGGAAAGATCAGAGTGTTAACATTAATATGAACCATGAATATCAAAAGTCAAATCTGTTTTTGAGTCGTGGATTACAGTGCTTTGATCTGATGGTGGCGCAAGACAAAAGATCGGAGAACTAACGAAAGTATTTATTATTTATTTAAAATTTATGTTAAACTCAAAACCAAAAACACAAAAGAGAAACTACAAAAGACTCTAAAACTTGTAAAATGTGTTTCCTGTGAGGAACCAAACTGCAGCTTTCACATCAACGGGATTATTTAGTATTTGTTGACAGATTTTTAGGAGAACACCTTTAAAAACAGCTAAAGCCTGACTGCTGTATGTGAGAGACGTGCGTGCGTGTGATGTTTGAATACTTACAGAAAATGACTCCAAAACATATAAGACCTACGACCGCCATGATGATCATCATCTGGAAGAAGAACACAAAGTCAAAGAATAAACTTCACTGAAATAATCCTTTAAATATATTTTAGTTCTGGAAAAAAGTGTGCGTGTGTGTGTGTGTGTGTGTGTGTGTGTGGACCTAAATAATCATTATGACATGAGAGTCAGAGAGAGAGAGAGAATTCATGAAAGAGAAATAAAGGTTAAGTCTTATTCTACATTTTCTTATCGACAACAAATCCCATAGTCATCTTAATTTAGAGAAAGTCTCAGGAATCTCTTAAAACAGCAGCTGTAGTTTTTATCAAACAAACAAGAGGAAATGCATTCGTTGGGGACTATTTTCAGCGGCGGATGAATCCACATTTGGTGAAATAAACTCCAGCGTGTGTGTTCATGAGGATGACGTGAGGCTCATTGAGGTGTTTTTGTGGCTTTGACACATACAGTAGGATAAAGCCATTGCTGCTCATGTCTGTTCATGGGATTTGTGATGTAACAATAACAACAATATCACCAGCATTATATCAGTAATATCTCCTACTTAAGTCATCAAAAGCCACAAATTCATCAAAAACAATACAAAGAACACAACTTTAGGGTTAATATTGAAGGCTATGAGGGTCCTCACAAGTATAGCAGTATAAACGTGTGTGTATTGGGGGTGGGTGGAGTTACATCACGAATCACAGCTGGCTCTTTAATCCCAGACTGTCACTGTAATCCAGATTGGGATCTCTCTCTCTCTCTCTCTCTCTCTCTCTCTCTCTCTCTGACTTCCTGGTCGTTGTCAGTCAAACTCTCCTCTAATGTAATCCTCCTCTGCCTCTCTAAAACGGCAGCTTCTGATTGGATGATCTGCCATCGGACCCGTCGGAGGCGGAGCTAATGCCGGATGGAGAGATGCTGAGATAAAGATGGATGAATGGATGATCGGGGGACAATGTGATGAACGAGGGACGAAGATGGTGGCTGGAGAGCAAATCCAGGACTGATCCCAGTCAAACTGGACTTTGTTTGAGTCTCAGTCATCAGCTGATGAATTCATCCAAAACGAGTTTGAATGAACTCATTAACCAGACTATAAATTCAGCCTGTTGTTAAGGTGGAAGTTAGGGTTAAAGGTTAAACGAGACCTAAATTAGAAAATCGGTTGTATTTCTTTGTTTACCTTCCAGTAAATCCAGAATAACATATTTAGTAGAGTGTCGATCAGCAGGTGCGTCTCCAACAACCACTACTGTATTGTGTGATTGAATGAGTACAACCCACACATGTCTAACCCACCGCAGAGACACCAATGAGATGCAAGGCGTCGTCGAACACACTTCATTCAAACTCACAAACAAGCGGCGACGTATGCAGATAATCGGCTCGAAGTCGTCTTGCCAAAAAACAAAATGGCACTCATCAAGCCGCCTGCCCGCATAGCAGCGGCTGAGTGGCGGCGATGTACTCAGCAGAGTGTGTGCAGGTAGCTCAGTTAGCCGTTAGCCAAACACACCGTACAAAACTATTATTCCTCCAGTCTTAACCGGACAGTTAAGAGTAGTGAGTGTGGAGTCAGTATAAAACAGGCAGAATTGAACTAAAATGTGTTGAAATGAGGAGAAAACTTCTGAGACCTTTTGCAACCAATGATGAATAAACCATCAGTTTCAAGTCAGAGGCGTCAGCATAGTCACACTGGGAATACTTATCTTGAATGGTACTGAGAGGGACTGATGCATGATGGGAAAAAGAAACATGCTCACCTTGCAGTTTTTCCACCAGTACTTGTTCTTGAGTTTGGCGGCGCTGCTCTCGAACTGCGAGGCTCCGGCCTGCAGGGCGTCGGCCCGGTCGTCCAGCTCCGACAGCTTCTGGTCCCTCTCCAGGACTTTGTCCACGTTCACGCGCATGATGTCCACCACCTGATCAGTTAAAGTGTGACCACATCGTCATCAACGTTTAACTGTTGGGCTGATTGTATATTTGTTGGGTTTGCAGTGAACTCCATAGAAGTGTGATTCTTTGAGCGGGTTCCTCACCTCGTCCACCTGCGCTTGTGTCTGCTGCAGTCGTCTGTTGCTGGTGAGGTTCGGGGCAGCCGGAGGGCCCCCCTCACCCGCGGGGGCCCCGGCAGTACCTGCTTCTGGAGTCGACCTGCAGACCGGGAGTGCAGCGCGAGACGAAAATGGAAGAAACACAAGTCATTATAGAAAAGGTACCAAGCTCAGTTTTTGGTAAAATTCAGTCCTCACAGGACATTTTTAGAGATGATTTATTTATCATGTTGCAAAAAGAAAACTCTGAACACTTTGACCAGAAGTGACAATTACTGTACATGACAATGTTGAAACAGGCTCAGTACCGTCGTTGAAATGGCAAAAATCAATGTTTGTTAAATATTAAAAGTGCATTTTAGTGTTTATACATTCAGCTTTTCATTTGTAGGAGGAGGGATGTGGCATTTCTTATTCCAAAAGTTGATTTTTCTAGCTGAAGAGAAGCTTCACACAACTGGCAGCGAAAAATAAAAACGTCAACACTTTAGTAAGAAATGTGGTAACATCAGAGAGTTGTACAGTAAAACAGATGTTTATTGAATCTCTGATGTTTGTACATAAAACCTACGAGACGAGGATATCGGACCAAAACCTCTGGACCAAGTTCATCTCTTAATCTTAACCAATGAAACAGAATCTAATCTTTCACCATCTACTCGGGAGTTGTACTGAAGTACAGTTCTGAGGTACTTGTACATTATGTGAGTATTTCCAATGTCTGCTGTACTTTATACTTCTACCCCACTACATTAATTTGACAGCTATATAGATACTAATTACTTTCCAAGCAAAGGTGAATAATTCTGAAATTCAACAGCTACCCAGCTGTATATATAGTATATATATAATATTTCAACTCTCTGCTATATACTTCTCAGAGTAACTTCTCATTTCAGAGTAACATGGAATATGAAATCCATTTGTCAATGCAATAATAGAATAATAATAGAATTCAACGATAAAAACATCAAAGTATCAGAGAGTGTAGTAATATCCCAACAACGCAATATTAAAAACAGTTTCACACACGCGCGCGCACACAGCAGGTGGTTTGATGCTCGATGAGCGGTTTCTGTTTTACAGCCGGCTGGTTGTCCAGAAGCAAAATGGAGAAAGATTAGTGCAGACAGAGAGGCAGAGGGAGATGAACATGCACGCTATAATACCCCCCCCCCCCACAAGGGAAATAAATCAAATAAAACAATCTATTTTAGCCTGTGTTTAGTTTTTTCTAAATAACGTTTTTGCGTTTTTACGCGAGATGTTAAGCCACGTTTCATTTAGTTCTTTGTGACGCTGTGAGCGGAATAAAGTGTATTTGTTTGATGGTGTAAAGAGAAAGACACTTAATCTGATCGCTGTATTGTTGGAGTCAACCGTTGAGTCATCGTTATATTTGTGCTGCAGACGAACGACAGGCTTCATTTCAGCAGCATTTAAATTATAAAACCAAAGGTTCAAAATCAAGGAAATATGGATTATAATGTAGTTTTAATATCCCAAGAACTATATCGAACAGGATCTTTAACACGAGGTTTGATTTAGGATAGTAAATAAATAATTCTCATAGTCATAGGCGATATGATTAAAAATGAAGTTAAATATGTTGGAGTACTCACATCTCAGCGGCAGGAGGATGGAGATAATCTGAGTCCGAGAGAGAGAGAGAGAGAGAGAGAGAGAGAGAGAATAAATGTAGTGAGTATGATCCAGATGATTCTCTCTGTCTGGTAACTTGATTCACTTTTCCTTTCAAACCAAAAAACTACAACTGCAGCAGCTGCGCAGATTAAAATGAAAAAAATAAAAAATTCCCGTCACACTCACGCGCATGCGCACTGCAGTCTGCCGAAATCTTCATAAGAAGCCAAGTAAGTGCTGCTTGATTGTTTTGTCACACTGTTATTTCCAAAAGTCAAGAATGAACCTTGATGGTACAATGTAGGAGACTGGTAAAAAAAACTAAATTATAAAATAAAATACTTTAATAAGAGTGAGCTAAAACATAAATCTCCATTTAACATCAGTTGTGTAAAGTTTATTAGATTTGTTTGGTTTTGTTGTGGTAAATTTGGGAGTATTTGGCACGTGACCTGCACTGACCAATGGGAGACGTAAACGAAACGCACTCGCTCACGTGATCAGACCCAGGTGTATCAAAAAAGTATGTATGTATAGTATGTCGAAAAAAGTCATAAGAAAGTCATAGTATAGTATGTTGATATTTTTTTACTTGAAATTAAAATGTTCTTGTAAATGTACCAACAAAACTCACAACACAGACTCCTTCGATGTCTTTTATTCTGTGCAACTCTTCATTTAGCTCCGATACATTCAAACAGCTGTGACTGAGAAACAAAACGTTAAAGTCCTCACGACGACGACGACTTGTTTTACACGTGAAGTGACGGAGAACACAATCAGAGCTCCGAATATCTGAACCAAGAACAGCAGCAGAGCTCAGACGAGCTCCTGCTGACTTCTGTCTGTCCACGTTCCGTGTTCCATGCTTCACGTTTCGTGTTCCATGTTCCGTGTTCCATGTTTCATGAGGCCTTTAAGTGGTTTTCTTTTCTTACACACTTGATTTATTTCTGCTCTTTCAACAGATGCTTTTTACATTCTTATAGTTTAGCCGTCAACATTTCAGTTCAAGCAGCATCTGTACAGTTCCATGAGGTGAGATGTCTATTTTGCTTTTAAGTATATTGTACACAGTTGCTTTGCTTCTCCTTGACTTTAAAGGAACACTTTTACATTTCACTCCATTTCTTCTGTTCGCACTGAGACATATCTGGAAGATAAGAGTTTAGTTTATGGCGACAAGTCTGGGTTTGATTAGAAACGTGTTCAGAGAAGAAAACTCCAGCACTAAACCTAAAAGTGTTCCTTTAAACAATCTATTTCTGTGGTGAACGTGGCAGGTTATTGATTAAGCAGACATTTATTTAATTAACGATGATTGAAGAGGTGAACTGTCGACAAAGACGGATAAACTGGCACAAATTAATACAAATCATGACTTTAAAAACACACTTCCTTAAACAGGAAACCAAAAACTAAACTCGCTTTAACTTGTAATCATTGCTGACGGTGTATTTACTCTGATGTACTGGTATGATACTACTAGGATGTCTAAATCAATTGATAGTAATGGTAAAACTAAAAGGTATTAGTTCATTAAATGCCACTGATTTCAGCTAAATTGACATCACAAGAACATGAAGCTCACAGCGTTAGATAGTTCAGCCTTATTATGTACATTAGATACAACGTGTAGCCTTTACAAACTGTACATTCTTAAAATAGGTTTTCAATTTTTGTAAAATAAAAATAAAATTCCCTTAAATTTCTGTTGTTTCGTCGACCGTCTCAGCATCACAGACGAGTCCCTTCTGCTGGTTCTGCAGCAGAAACGTACGACACGCGTCACATGGGACGTTTAAGAGCGATGACGTCATAGAGTTCCATTAGCATTGATGCTAACAAGGAGGTTAGCTCGTGATTGATGGCGTATAAATGACACCTTCCCCTTTTAAACTTAGAGACAAAAAATCCACTTCAGCTGTGATCTTCTTCAAAGTCTCAAAAGTAAATAAACTTTTTTTAAGGGAAAAAGACGAGTTGACCCGTCAGTCATTTAATCAACTGACGGGTTGACATTTTAAAGAGATTAACGATTAAATTAAACTCGCTTAAACCAAAGTAACTTTGAGATGTCGATGGTGTCTAATAATATGGAGACCGTGTGAGAGACTGGAAGCCAATCACAGGTGTTTATTTTGGAAATGCGCAGTAATAATAATGTTCAATTCAAAGTTCTGCACTTTTAATTCAGGGACTTTCCTCAGTGTAGTTATTTAGAGTTCTGATATCTGCTTATAATAAAGTAGAGTAATGGACTAGTTAGTTAAGAGTAAATATTACCTTTTAACTACACCTACAAATAAACAGATGTATAATGTACATCTCTGTACATTCTGAAAAGAGTTGTTTCTATCGGGGAAGGTGTCATATTTTGTCAGTTTAAGGCAAGTTGGGCTTTGACAGTTGGAGATCTGTCAAATGTGAACTTTCTATCGGGTTATTATTATTATTCTTTATTATTTCTGCTATACTCGCAACATGTTGCTGCACATGACGGGATTAAAACACAAGAAAGTAAAAATACTGAATGAAAACAAGCATTCTAGGGTAATAAACAACGAACTGTGCATACATGTGACCACTCTTCACCACTTCAATGAGCAGTTTGTGTGCAAACTTTTTCTTTGTGCGTTAGCGACTCTCCGTGCACCTGCAGCTGAAAGGCATCGACACGGAAACTGTGCAAATGATCAGCTGCTGCACTCGACAGTGAGACCAGTGTGCAGAATAAAATGTCTCCTTTTCATCTGAATGTTTTTAAAAAGGCCATTTTGTTCGGTTTGACCGTCACTGAGGTGCAGTTACAGCTGATAACCACAGGAGGGCAGCAGTTACCCATCAAGTGATGAATTACTGCCTCTTTTTATTTTTGTATTATTCACTCTAAGCTTTGCAAGCAAATTCTGGCTTTGTGTTTGTTTGACTCACACAAACGTAGCGGCTGTCAGGTTGACGTCCAGTAAAAACGGGACAAACATCAGACGGGCGGCTTTTAGAGAAGCTTGAAGATTTAAAAAAGGACATTTTACATCTGCTGGTTTTAAAATAATGTCGACCTTAAGTAAACTAAAAACCACAGAGACATTGGAGGAAGAGAGGAGCGTTGGTGTGACATTATCTACCAGCAGTGTGTGTGTGTGTGTTAGGGTTTCCTCCAGGTCAGAGGAGGGATGGCGGCGTTGGCGCCGCAGTAAGAAACGCTGCTCTCAGACTCCGCAGGAAGAGCCGGCTGCTGCTTCTTCTTCTCGTCGCTGTCGGAGTCGTCCACCGTCAGCGGGATGAGCGAGGGTGACTCCCTGTAGAGGGAGAGAAATAATGTTAAATAATGTTACAGAAAGTTAAAGTTTTTCTCTAATAACTCCTTTTGTTTCTTTAAAGTTTGTGCCTCTCGTTTGTTATCATTTCACATCATGTCACATGTGTGTGTGTGTGTGCGCGTTACCCGTCTCCGCTCTGTGTGATGAGTCTCCTGCAGGTCTCCATCTGGACGTCCAGGCCTCTTTTCATCGAACACATCTCCATGTACTCGTGCAGGTGACGGTTCATGTCGCTCTTGGCTGTCGCCAGATCCACCTGACCAGGAGGACGGAAAAACACCGACGCATCAACCCTGCCGGCTCCAATCAAACACTAATATAGAGAAGTTATTCTAGTCATTCAATGTCCCCATAATCACATGAGTCATCACATGACTCACAGCAATCAACACGAAACTCTCCCGGTTAAATCATCACAACAAAAGATTAAGAACGGCATTAGAATAAAAACTATCATTACTTCTGTTGTTCTTTTTTTGACTTGTTATGAGCAGTGAGTCCTCACAGTGTGACGATGTCCCCATAACGTCACAAAGTTGAGAAGAACAGACTGACCTCTATCTGGTCGATGGTCTCCTGGTATTCCTTCTCTCTGGATTTGAACAGAGACTCCGTGTCTTTAATCACCTCCTCGATGGACTCCTCCTGCTGCTGCAGCTGGAAACAACCAGCAGGTGTGCGGGGAAGAGAGAGAGACATCAAAAATATTAT